GATTTCCTTGTTCCATTAAGTTCAGTAGCAGAATTGGTATTATGAAATGAAATGAAGTTTTCATTTTGAGCTCTAAGAAAGCTGAGTTTTGAAAAGGGGCGAAGGCAGTTGCACAAAGAATCACTTGTCAATAATGTTTTTATTTTTTATTTCTTCAGAATTTGCTGTACAATCCTGCAAATCTCATTTATTAATTATAAAAGGTCTATGCAGATGACAGTCAAATATGTTAGGGAAGGGGGGAGGGGCAGAAGTATTCCTTAATTCCTTCTTGGCTTAAGGTGGAAATGGTGTATTGTATGTATTAGGAAGAAGTAATTAATTGAAAATATAGATTAGGACAGCCCACACTTAAATTGTACAAAAGTGAGAGGAGTAATACTTAATCTGATTTAGTATAGTTTTTTTACAAAACCACAGTTCTTAAAACAATTAGAAAAATATTTTGTATACTGAGATACTGGAAGGACATAATACTGAATTGGCAAGAATTCTTTATTTCTCCTCTAATGAGAATAACAACACAAATCCTTGTAAAAGTTACTTTAAAAAAGACAAATATATTAACACACATATTAAAGGCTAGCTTACTACTATTTTCAAGCTTTAGTAAACTCTAAACAGAATGTAGTGAAGGGATCCCTTTAATTTCTGCTAGACTGAAGTGTGTGGACATTGTTTGGATGTTTTTTATATTGTATTTTCTGGGAGGGTGGAAAAAAACATGGGAAAACTGAAGGTTCAAGATAGGGTGGTGTGTTCAGCATTTTGGATGACGAGAATCGTTGTTGCCATGATTTGTACCTGTACATGAACACATCAGCTGTTGAAAATAGAACCCAGCTGACCTGTGCAGAAAAAAAATCTTTTATTATACTAAAATTTAGAAGTTAAATATCGGAATAAAATATTTTTGTTCAGTTTCATTCCTTGGGCTTTTCTTAATAGTGTAAGAAGAAATGGCTTAAAAGTGCCATAGTTTTCTCCTGCACACTTTGAGTGCAGTTCCACACACACACAGCCAACCAGACTTGCCAACTGCTGCTCGTGCCCTACAGCTGGAAGGGCAACAGCTATTTTGGGGGGGTGCTTATTATAACTAAGCAACTGTAAGAAACTTTCTAAAACTTTTATATTGGACAGACTGGGTCTGATTTGATTTTATTTTTTAATAAAACTGCCTTAATGTGATTTTATGTAATTATTTTCCCTATATCCTCTTCGAGTTCATTTCCAACCTCAAAATTCAATCATTCTAAGCATGTGAGTGGTGTTAGTAATTCAAAGGAGAGTATGGTAAGTTATTTCTCTGTGTCTGAACTGGACTTCTTTGAGATGCATTGTCCATATATATATATTCTGCAGCCTTAATCTGTGTATCCTCTGCTTTGGAGCCCTGTGTGTGAGCTTTGAGAGCTGTTGGCCAAAATTCTTACACCTTGAGGATGGGGAAAGGTATGCTTTGAAATGAGGATGTGCATATGGATAATGCATCTCAAAGAAGTTAAGGAAGGAAGTTCTCCTTTTGCTGTTTTCAATCTGGCATTTAAATATTATGGTGACTTGACACTGAAATGATACACCCAAATAAAAAAACCCAAACCCACAAATCACACAACAACCAACACTTTGTTGAGTTATCGTGAAAAATGTGCACTGCCCACAATATCTGCATTCAAAGTGTAAGTGGTCACCCCCAGATTATCTCCAAGAGGTCTGAAGTTAAAGGCTGTACTACAGATCACCTGAAGGAATTTTTCGCTCTATCTGCTATAAATTATTTTATTGCTGTCATCTGTTGCTGCTCTCAGACTTGCAAAAACCAGAACAGTGAACAATTTTTATATTTCATTATGAGATACAGTTTTGCTCTTTACTCTCCTAGAACTGATTTAATGAAGTGTGATTTACCCCAGGTGTTATGGGCAGCTGCACTGTGGGTAATGTTTTAAAATTTGTATCAGTCTGTGGAAAAAGGGGAGATTGGTCATATTGTCCTGTTCATAAAGAGCAGAGGAAAAGGAAATGTTCTTTCCTCAGTGTCAGATGTTACCTGGATGACAAGAAATTGGAGCTTGCCCAAAGCTACCTCAGTGCTGAAGCTCAGTGATTTCTGTGTTTTACTTGGACACAGATACTGTGGGAAGGGGCTAGAAGTTTGAAAACATGAAGATATTAAAGATGTTGGGGAAGGAGGGGATTTTATTTATATATAGTTAGAAATAATAACTTACAATAGATGTAATAGTTGTAATAGTAAAAATCCATGCAAGAAGAAATCAATATCTGGAGAATTTTCTTCATTAGTTACTAAAAGGACTCAATTTTTAATGTACAGGGAGCTATAAAAATCAAACTTTTTTTCCAAACTGTCCTGGGAGTGTCACAGGCCTTGACAATACAAGGAAGATTGAACTAGTGTGAGTGTATGGAATGCTGTCCTGTTGGGCTGCTGATTTAGTTGGAATTCTAACTATTTAGTCGCTACTGGTGTGCAAAAAGATCTACTTGAAGAGAGGCTTGTTGATTTTACAAGTCAGGTAAATTTATTTCAGAGTAGCCCATCAGTTTGGCATTTTGTCTCTCCAGGGGAAGTTGTGCCTCTGTGGTTTCACATAATTCTGAACTGTAACACATCTGTTCCCTGGGCAAATTTTGTATGGTTTTGTTCTATTTTAGAGTAAATTAACCTTTGGAGGCTTCACCCTGCCCTTTATTGGAATATTGACTATTCCCAAAAACTTCAAACCAACTGTAAACTTCATTACTTTTGACAGTACAGTAAAAATACAGGTCAAAACTAAAAATGGAAGTCACTTTTTTTGTGGCTGAGAAATTTTTATTTCTAACCCAATCATGGAGGATTGAACTTGTCAAAAGACTGGATGCCTTGCATAGCAAAAGGGAGAATTAAGCACTTGGGGAACAGACTTGTTTTATTTATTTTTTACGTAAGTACTAAACCATGTTTTAAAGAAAAAAAAGGTTCCCAGAAGGATTTTACATCAAGAAAACTAGTGCCAGGAGTATTTTTAGGGCAGGTAGCTGCTACCTGGTAAAAATAATCTATAGTGCAAGTTGTGGAATTATAGTCATGATTTAAAAGTTCTTTTTGGCAACATTTTCTAAGCCTCTGCAGAACGCTGTAGCCACACCCTTTTTAGTAATACTTTATTTCTCAGGTGATTCAACCAATGTCAGTGGGTCTGGTTAGGAAATCAGATGCTAATAATGAGAGTGGGACATACATCAGAGCAGTTGTTTGGTGTGTCACAAGGGAGAAGGTTTTTCCTCACAAGTGCACAACAGGTCATATAAAGGCTGTAAGCAAGTGTTACTGTCTTTGTGTTACATGAGAAATGGGAAGGAACTAGTTAAGAAATAGGAGATGGATCCACTTCAGAACAGAGATGGGGCTGGTGGGAGCTGAAGACAGAACACAGGATTCTTGTTATGTCTTGATCCATAACAGTGCTTCTTTCAACAGCCTGTGACCAGTCATGGATTTGGTTAGAGCCATTATTATTGCAGCTTTTGCTGTTTTGCAGTAACTTGTGTGATAGAACAGCAGGTCACTGGTCCCTGTCCCAGAGTTCTGTGGCACCGCTGCAGCAAATCATCGACTGATGGAGCTAGGTGGGAGAGAGAGGATGGCACGGCAAGAACTGCAAGAGAAGGAAGAGGTAGGTTTGGGGCAAACATTAAGCAATGTGTTTTATTTCCTCTTCAACACCCCCCAGGGACCTCTCAAGTGTGAGTTACCTTGGGGCAGACTCTGCAGGGGCCTGTTTCAGCCCCTTAGCGCTCCTTGGTACTGCTCCTCTGGAAGTGCATTGCTTGATGGGAACCTGGTTCGCGAGAATGACTCCTTTATAATTTTGATGAAAATCAGGAGTGACTTCATTGCTGTCAGTTACATCATGCTTATTTCAAAATAATTAAAAGTGAGAATAGAATTAGACCTACTTGTCTTTAGCAATGTCTAATACTGGGGATGTACCCATAAAAGTTGTGAGTCATCAACAGAAAGGAAACTGTCTGCTCTTTATTGTAGCTTTTGCAAACATGCCAAGGTGTGTTTAGGTGTTAGGAAGGAAATCACCATCTCTTTGCAGAACAGCAGGACAATGCTCAGCTACCGAGGGTGGAGTGGGAATAATAGTGACAGTGAATCAGGAAAACAGGGCAGGATTCGTATTTCTAAACTTTACCCTCTACTACTTTACCCTGCTGCAAGAGACCTCCCACCACCATTTCATTTGAATTTGTATATGTTTAAAATTATGTAATTGTTAGTATTTATTATTACACTGATCTAGTACATATGGGCTTTGCTCACAGACAATACGATTATCACAGTACAAATGCATACTAGATAGTCCCTGATCTAAAGTTCTCATCATCTATTTGCTTCCATCTTCACATTGTTTTGTTTGTTGTTGTTTTTGTTTGGGTTTTGTTGGTTTGTTTTTGTTGAGGGGGTTGTTTGGTTTTGTTTGTTTTGTTTTTTTTCCTGATCTATAGGACTTCTGAGTGTATTTCCATACTATTTCTTTCCTCTAAAGCACACATGCTGCTACCACCTGTCCAGTATTTTTCAGTACTTTCTCCAGGTTTTTGATCTAATGGAACCCACTCCTGGTGGCTTGCTGTTAATCCCGTTTGAGACTCTTCGCGTGGAACTGGTGTCCTTGGCCCTATTTTGGTCAGTCTGACTTCTGAACTGTCCTGAACACCAACGGGACACGAGGGATCCGTGGGAGGCCGGAGTGGCCAAGCCCGGAGCCCGGGTGGGCATTTCAGAAAGGACGCGGAGCGGAAGGGAAGGACAGGACTCCCATTAGAAGAGCATTCGGGAGCCGGGAATGAGGAGCCGGAGCGGGAAGGGCGGGGAGCCGGGCGGGGCGGGGCTGGCGAACACTCATACGGACACACACACACACACACACATCCCTCTCTCCGCCCGCCCTGACAGCGCCGGGAGCCCTGGAACCCCCGCGTCCTGCCCACCCCCCGCCGCCCTTTCTTACCCTCGCCGGCGGCTCTGCCGGGGCCGGGGCGGCAGCTCCGGGAGCCGCATGCCGGGGGCCGAGCAGGAGGGCGCAAGGTGAGTGCTGCCCCTCAGGGCTGGGCAGGTGGGCGCTGCCCGGCGAACCTGGAGCGGCTCGGCTGCTCTGAGGTAGCCGGAGGCAGCCGGGGCCGAGGTGACCCGGGGTGGGGGACCCGCCGCGCCTTGCGGGACCCCGCACGGAGCTGGGGCGGTTCGGGAAGGGACTCCTACCAGCTCCTGGTGCGGGGAACGGGACGCGCCCTCCTCCATCTCCTCTCGCCCCGATCCGGCGATGCCCCGTGGAGGGGGAGACACGGGAGGACCGCACCTCCCGAACTTCGCCCCACCGGGGTTGGCCGGGCGGGACCCGCAGCCCCGTGAGGGGCCCCGGTGGGGCGGCACCGGGCGCTCGACCCGCTCCCCCTCGGGGCTCAACGGCTGGTGAGCCTTTATTTGTTTGTGTTTTTTGAAGAACTTTTAACGTTTATTTAGTGGCGGATCTTACACGAGTGCGGGTTTAGGAGGAAGGGCCGCCGTGCCCGGAGCTGCCGCCGCCCCCGAACCCCGCGGTGTTATCGCGGACCGGCGGTGCCCCCGGTGCTCTTTGCCTTGGCGGGGCCCGGGGCCGCTCTTGGCCCTTTCCTCCTCCTCGGGGCAGGACGTGGGGGAGGTTCGAGCCGAAAGGAAAGTGGAAAAAAACAAACCCGGAGCGTAATGACTTACACTTGTGAAGCGAGGCACGGCAGCTTGTGCAGGGGCTGCAGTCAGAGACAGCGCTAATTAGCGAGGCATGGACCAGCGAGCGCCCCAGTTCGAGTGGTTGGTGCAGGTGAACTCGCGGTGCGGGGTCAGCGTGTTACTGCTCATCTCTGTGTTATGCTTGGCACAATCCTAGTGATTTACTAGGGAACCATTTACATTAATGCAGGAACTCCAACTTTGGTAACGAATAGTTTCCTTTATTGTTCTTCCATCATGTAATGTATAAATCTTCGCATATACCTTTTCCATGTACGTATACATTCACTGATATAATTTCTAGTTAAATGTTATCCTTTAGTGCATTTTCATAGTGAAAGAACAGAGAATATTCGTTCATCCTAAGAGTTGTCCAAGTATTAATTTGGTAGCATACTTAGTTCTGTAGCGCATACAGAGGTCTGTGAAGTGCAACAAGGTAGGAGGTGGATGTTGTATCTATACAGAATCGAATAGAAAGTTCAGAATAGAAGACATAGGATTTGGAAACAAATGGAGTTAAAATATTTACTGCAAAATAAAAGGGTTTACAGAATGTAGGTGGCAGAGTGTGTGAAACAGAGCTGCCCTGGGGCAAATGAAGTAAGGGAATACACAGGTATAGCTTTGACTTGTCCTTAACTGGATTTTGCCCTTCTATTTAAAATTTTCTATATGTGTGATATGATGCCTGTTTTGAGTAAATATTTGTTACACAGTTCCAGGAAACAGAAAACCATATTGTTTTGATCAGAATCCTCTTCAATTCCCCATCGGAGTCGTGCGTATCAGTTCTCAGTGTGACAAGGCCTCGTGACCCATGAAGACACAGTAACATTCAGTATCGTTCCCTGCGGATTCTCCCAGACCTCCGCTCTGTTTTGAATAGCTCACTTCTTCTGGGGACTGCTTTTGTGTAGACAGTTGTTCTGGCGTCAGTCCAGGCTGTGGGAGTCGTATGTGCGCATGATTTGGAGGTGTATTATGTGGAGTTGCTTCCAGCAAGTGGCCAGTGAGGCCACATGGCCCTAAACAAAACTTTTTTGTTTTGCTGCTCATGAATTGCAGTGGGCAATACCTGCTTCTGCTGGGGAGTTTATGTGTCATAGCTTCATATTAACTCGGGAGCTAGTTTTTCTCATGTTAAATCTTTTGCTCTAGGTGTTAAAGAAAATTAACCTGACCTCTTAAATTTTGTTGGTGCTTTGTATGTTTTCAGTGGTTTAGGTTTTTGAACAAACTGTTTTGATGAAATGTGTTTTCTAAGTGTTTTTTGGGGAAGCATCTGCCCGCTGCTACAAATGTTGTAATGAATGCATTCAGAATCCTTTTGGAGTGCTTTATGTGTGTGTATTGGATTGCAGACACTTTATACTCAAGTGTATAAGTGTGATTTGGAGAACTAATTTGTTAAGAGTTGCTATTTTCTTCCTGTGTAATATGTAGGAAAACTGGGAAATTATATGTTTGTGGAAGACTAAAATGCCTGGGGTTCTATAAAGCACACATTGATTTATTTTGTTTAACTTAACTAGTTTCTGTGTAAGTCCCTTTGTTTTTTTACCAAGTTGTGCCTCCTAATTTGTGAGGATGTCTTTGTGGATTCCAGTTGCCCAGCTCATATGAAATCTGGAATTAACAAATGGCTGCAATCTTGCCCAAGTTTTTAGGAGACTATAGAATTACTGTACTGTAGTAGGTAAAAAGAAGTGGAAAAGAAAGGACTTGGTAAATATGCTCCAGTAAGCTGTGTTTAACACACACCTGTGCTTTGCTTTTGACTGTAAGAGCTACAAAGTAGCTGTACTGAAATAAATGATTCTAATAGGGTGTGACTGTGGTGGTCTCCACCCCCAAATGTAACACAGAGGATGTGCAAACAAACCAAATGTGTTCTCGCAGCCGTGTGTCTGCCAGGGTTGAACGTGCAGTGACGTGCTGTCAGGTACTGAAATGTGGGCAATGATTAACTTTGCAGGTGCTCAGCACAGCGCAGGATCCAGCTGAAGGGGTTTGCTGGTGAATGGGTCAGGCTGTTAATACCTAAACACAAGGGCATGTGTGCCTGTATATTTACTTACTTCCTAGTCACATACTAGGAGTAGCTTGAGGATTTCAGATCTGAAAAGGTGTTTGAAGTAACGTGTATCTTCTACAGACCACTGCTGAGGGCAGTACTTGAGGGCATGGCCAGGAGTGAAATCCAGCAATTCCCTCCAAAAAATTGTTTAAGCTGGACAAGAAGCAGAAGCTTTATGTTCTTGATAATGAAGAGATTTTTTGCCTTTCGTGTTAAATCTTTATAGATACAATCAGAAATGTGACTGGAAAGGTGCCCTATACTGTTGTTGTTTTTTTTTCCCCTTTCTGTATAGAGTTGATTACCCTCACAGTCCTCCTAACACTGCAGGTGTAATCAATGTGTGGTACAACTTGTATTCAGAAAGGTTTACTGGTTTTTATACCACTGAAGATTGCACAAACTGGGATTGTTGGCAGGAATTATCTGGACCTGTGTGGTTTCTATAGAACAAGAACAGCTGCTCTGCTGGTATCATCTTTCAGACGTTTTAGTTGTTAAACACAAGTACAACTTTCATTAGTTTATTTTAAACATTGCACCGTTTTTCCCAAATAAATTTTTGGGGTTATAAGTGGGAAAAGAGTGTGTCCATTATACTATCTGTACTGCATCAGGAATCCTGTTGATTTTATGTTAGGTATAACAGTAGTGTCCCGCCAGAAGGTTTTGTCTGGAGCATCACCTGCTTCCTGCAGACCACAAGGAGCTATTTGGACAGTTTGTGTTTTGGGGGTGACTGACTGCTTCTGCTTGTGTGTGGCCCTAACTGATGCACCCACAGAGCAGGTGGTTGGGAGAGGTTAGAGACATGGAGGAATGGCAGCAGCACCATGTTTGTGTTGACACGTGCTTATGATGGGGGCATCCCAGGCCTGGTATCCCCCCCGTAGACAGTGAGGTTCTTATGTGAGTATGAGCCCTAAAAACTTTGCCTACAGAAATAGGTGCTGTCGAAATTAGCATTTGTTGATGCTCTGAAGATAAGTAATTAATATCCTAGAAAAAACTCTCTCAAGTGAGTTGATTGCCTTGCAAACTTTCCCCACGTGGGTTTGAATTTTTACTGTGCTTAGCAATTACAGGTGAAAAGCTGGAAAGACTGAAAAGAAGATAATTTTAGGACAATAGATCTTTTTGTCTACCACTGAATGTCTTAAATAACCAAGAAAATAAATGCAAAACCAAGTTGAAACACTTCGATGATGTGCAGCAATCCTGAATGAAATAATCATGATTATTAAGACATTGGGCTGAAAGGACATTTCAATGTTAAGGAGGAAATGTGACACCTTTCCAGGCAGATAAAATCTTGAACCTGCTGCTGTTCCCTGGCAGTGATGATTCTGAAAAGGGGGAAATGGGTTGTGTTTGTCTCAACTGGGGTGGTATTTCTCTTGGGTTTCGTTTGTTCTTAATGTATTTTTTTTTTTTAGGATAAACTTTATTCTGAGGGAGGTGGGAATATATTGAAAGGATGAGCAGATTTGAAGAAATGGGGCAGTGGTTGCATTAATTTTACACTGGGCATGCATGCTGTATCTCACTTTTTTTTTTTTTTTTTTCCTCCTGAGTCTGCCATTACACTGGGAAAGACTTAATTTCAACGCTAGTTTCAGAAAATGCATCGTTTTTGTTTAGTAAATTGTTCCATTAATTTGCTTAGCTTTGCATACCCCTTCCATTATTCTTTACAGAAACAGCACAAATATTTCTGGAAGTAGTTTTCCTCTAGATAAAATCAAGATTC